GAGCTTAGAGAGATTATGGACCCACACAATGTGTTCGAAAGGATATACAGCTATATAGGTTGTTTCCTATATATACAGCCGCGTGCTATAAAACAGTACAACCTCCATGACACTCACGCTAGAGGACACCTCTTGTATGAAAAAGTGAAAGTTGTATAAGCTTATGAGGGCAACTCTGTGCTTCACTTCCATCAATAATTGACAATATGACCCAGAATAAGTATATTGCTACGGCGTTTTATGGTTTCCACAAGTCCATATCTCAGAAGAAGGCCAAGTGATACTCACTCCTCACTTTCTTACTGCTACTCTTTTTGTGTTGATTTCTTGCTTCCCTCTTTCTTCTTATTATTTTTTCCTTTTCTTGTTTTTTTTTTCTTTCTCTTTTTACTCTGTATATATCGTTAATTCCTTTGTCTCACTGCTTTGTTCTTATGCATACCTCTGGTGAATCCTGTATAGGGTCAGTGACCCTAAATAAAGGCTTTTTTGTTGTTGTTTGTTGTTTGTATAAGCTTATGATTTTGCTTTGTTTTAAAAATGAATCGATGTTGGTTCCATATGCTTGAATTGAATATTATACCTTATTTCTACATATATTTTATTGCTTAAATGAACACAACAAATAAAAAGAAACTACAATTACAAAATGATTTGATGACTAACTAAGAAAAAAGAAACAAAAATAATGTCCAAAAAATGAAGATGATAAAAAATTGAATATATCTGCCAGAAAAATGTTTCTATGAATTAAAAAAAAAAAAAGAATAATTACAAAATTAACATATAAACTTCAAACACCTCTCTACATAGGACAGTTTTCATTTACCAAAATACCATTTTCAGTATTTAACAACTTTCCGGTAAAAGGACACCTCTCCCTAAAGGACACTATGGCTCTGCATTTAGGTGTCCTTTACAGGGAGGTTCTACTGTATTACACATTAATAATACTTGTACCTCTTCTGCTTTACAACACTTTATTGCGCATGCGTCCCGCTGACCAATCAGCAGGAACAGGTGTACCTTACCGTTAGCCGACGAATCTGTCGGGGCTTCCTACCCGCTTGTACACCCTCAACGGTGACAGATGCATATGCACATAGAAGGTACAAGGAAATAAGAGATAACCAATCAGAATTGAATAAAACGATCACCATATAACCATCAACATATCAAGGCGTTTAGTATAGTGAATCTTTATAAATAGATTTCTCGATTGATATTTTAATACCATTTAGGAATTTTAAAAAACTTGCAAACCTCAAACTTTTATAGCATTAGATGGAAGTATCTATAGAAAATCTCTCTATTTTCAAATTTTAACAAAGTTAGGAGTTCTGGGAAATGTTGAGAGCTTGTAAAAAAGTAAAAAGCTATAAAAGAGACAAAAGCCATAAAAATGAATATAAATAAAGCACTTACTTGTATAATAAAAACGCCTTTAAAAACGTTATAAAATAGTTTTAACACAAAGAATGAAAACAGATAATGTGATAGATAACAATAGCATATAACTAATATGTTGAATATAATTAGGTATATTGGGGGAAGGGAAACATATATTTATGTTATATAACAATTATTTTGAGATTATATTGTTCTATTACGATGCACTAGCGCGCCATCTGTTATGAAAATTCGAAATTATTTTAGACGCGTACGATTCTTTTTGAAATTAAACAATTTTTACTGTCCTTACTGTAATGGAAAAATTAATAGGAGGGCCTGGCTCATCAGTGGTGAACCCTCCAAGCTGTTTCGCCAGTTTTAAACTACCATACCGCTGTTATATTGCATTTTTCGATCTTCCTTTTATAGTGATACTGATTTTAGACTCTTGGAATGGGTATTTTAGATGAACTATGGACATAATTATATTATATATGTATTATATATTTATAATTGTATGTAATTCTACTGTCCTCAAAGCTTACGAACAAATATGCAGCTACAAAACTTCCTTATGTTTTGTCCATATATGTAAATATATAGCATATGTTTGAAGTTTATATGTTAATTTTGTAATTATTCTTATTTTTTAATTCATAGAAGCATTTTTCTGGCAGACATATTCAATTTTTATCATCATCATTTTTTAAATTATTATTTCTTTTTTCTTAGTTTGTTATCAAATAATTTGTAATTGTAGTTTCTTTTTTTTTGTTTCTTTTTAAGCAATAAAATATATAGAACTAAGGTGTAATATTCAATTCAAACATATGGAACCAATATCGATTCATTTTTAAAACAAAGCAAAATCATAAGTTTATACAAATTTCACTTTTTCATACAGCATATATATTTTTACGATTCATTATATACGATCAATCGATGATTTAATATTTTATAGACAAGGTCATAAGATCAAATCCAAATAAATAGTGTGTGACGTTTCGGTAACAGCGTTGTTACCATCTTCATAAGAATTATCTGCTATATTGTTTACACACTTTATAACAGTAACTATTTAAAACATGCTGTGGTATTTTATATCATTCAGCACTTTTGTCTGAAGATGCTAACAACGCTGTTACAGAAAAATCACACACTATTTATTTGGATTTAGTCCTATTACCTTGTGTTTATAATCCAAATTGTGCCTTATCCATTCAGTATTTTTGTCTGAAAATGGTAATAACGCTGTTACCGAAACGTCACACACTTTATTTATTTGAATTTGGTATTATTACCTTGTGTTTATAATCTATAATCCAAATTGTGCCTTATCCATTCAGTATTTTTGTCTGAAAATGGTAACAACGCTGTTACAGAAACATCACACATTATTTATTTATTTGGATTTGGTCTTATTACCTTGTGTTTATAATATTTAATCCAAATTGTGCCTTAGCCATTCAGCACTTTTGTCTGAAGATGGTAACAACACTGTTACAGAAACGTCACACACAATTTATTTATTTGGATTTGGTCTTATTACCTTTTGGTTATAATCTATAATCCAAATTGTGCCTTAGCCATTCAGCACTTTTGTCTGAAGATGGTAACAACGCTGTTACAGAAATGTCACACACTATTTATTTATTTGGATTTAGTCTTATTACCTTGTGTTTATAATCTATAATCCAAATTGTGCCTTATCCATTCAGCACTTTTGTCTGAAGATGGTAACAACGCTGTTACAGAAATGCCACACACTATTTATTTATTTGGATTTAGTCTTATTACCTTTTGTTTATAATATTTAATCCAAATTGTGCCTTATCCATTCAGCACTTTTGTCTGAAGATGGTAACAGCGCTGTTACAGAAACATCACACACTATTTATTTGGTCTTATTACCTTGTGTTTATAATTCTATAATCCAAATTGTGACTTATCATTAGTATTTTATACTTTCGTTATCACTACAATCATATTTCATATATCTCTTCATTATATGCATATATTGAATATTTCAACAATTGACTGCATATAATAATTTCGTTATGATTAACACTAAATTCCATATTTAAGAGAAAGAGAATACCATATCCCCAAATATTAAATATTGCCACGTAGAAAATAAGGAAAGACAAACTTCAGGATGACACAGCAATTTATTTAAGGCAAGAACAAACTATGAATGATAAACAAAAGATAAGCAACGAGGGAAGTTTACAGAGTAAGAAAAAATAAACATAAAAAATGAAACTCTGTTAATAAAATAATATATACTTTGATACAATATTCCAATAATAACTATATTTTATATTTAAGCTATTACACCTATACCTCGCTTTGCGTCGGGGTTACGTTCCAAAAAAAAAAAAAAAAAACACGACGCAAATTGAAGCGACGCAAAGTGAAAATAAAATTTTGATGGCATGGCGCAATCAAAAACAAAGGTGTTGCCATATTTTAGGAAAAAAAAAAATTAAAGATTCGAATCCAAAACAACGCAACTTCGAAAATCTAACGACGCACAGTGAAAATCAGTAAAAATTAAGCAGCGACACAACTTCGAAAAAAACGCAAAACGAAACGACGCAAAGCGAGGTATTGGTGTAATTAACACCGTTTTTCATATATATCAGCATTATATACAAATATAAAATAGGCAAACAATAGCTGCATATAATATATTCACCATAATCAACATCATATATTTAATATATATCTCAACATTATATCCACAAATATATAATAGTCTAACAAAAACTTAATATCATATATCCAGCCTAATATATTTCATCACACATTTTATATATAAAACGCTATAACTAACTATAATATCTAATCAATAAGTTATTATAGCTTTTTCTCTATTATATATATACCATTATATATATTATATATAAAAAGAAGCCTTTATATATTTAAAGAAGAAAAAAAGAAGCAAAGGAGGGTATATAAGCAAATGTCGGATTACATGGGCCACAGGCTAAGCCTAAAATGGCCGCCTTCGGGGTATCGTCTGCGGAGATAAGGTCCATTATGACCAGATGCCATTAGTAGCGGTATCAACTCGGTGGATGACTCCTTCTTCTTCTGCTGCAGCTTCTTCTTTTGCCCTTCGCTTCTTTAATTGCTCTTCTGGCCTGATATTGGCCCCCCTATGTATGCTAAATCTTATATTTCGTCTGCGGAGAAATAAACATATTTACACATTTATTTGTCAGCGCCATCTATCAATATGAAATAATACTATTTTTTTTTTATAAGAGCGAATATTTAAATTAAGAAAAAAAAAAGGCATTTCCTGATCGTGAAACTGAAAGTTGCTGATGGCTTGCGCCATCTATCGGTATAAATATCAACTAATCGTTGATTTTTAATTATTCCACTATATTTAAATTGTTTTTTTTTTTAAGAAGTTGTTTTGATAAATATTGTAGCAAAGTTATTATTTTATTAACAGAATATCATTTTTTATGTTTATATTTTGCTACTCTGTAAACTTCCCTCGTTGCTTATCTATTATTTATCTTTCATAGTTTGTTCTTGTCTTAAATAAATTGCTGTCTATCCACCTGGCAATATTGTTTCAACATTTGTCTACGGCCATACCAGGTTGAAAACACCGGTTCTCTGATCACCGAAGTTAAGCAACGTCGGGACCGGTCAGTACTTGGGAGGGTGACCACCTGGGAACACCGGGGGCTGTAGACTTCCTCTTTTGGGCTCAAAAATAATTCATTCTGGTTAACCCCCCGTAAAATAAAGATATTTCCGTTCCACGTGGTAATATACTATTATATAGTGAGCGTATTATAGAATTTGTAGAAATATTTTATTGGAAATAAGTGTTATATTGTCTTTTTAGTAAAGATGTATAGAGGTTTTAGTGAATTAATTGTAGTTAGCAGGCTTCCGAAAGCTTGAGAATCATATAGAATATTTTAAAAGAAATTTATCCTCGTATCTCTGATGTTTTCACTTTAATTTGATAAAACGGGTGATACCTCTGGTGAATCCTGTATAGGGTCAGTGACCCTAAATAAAGACTTTTTTGTTGTTGATAAAACGGGTGAGTTTGTTGGATAAAAAATCTGTTAGTTTAGGTATAAGTGTTAGTAAAACAACAAAATCACTGTTTGTTATAGAATCAGTTTTAGTAAAAACACTAAAAATGTTGTTAGTTAAGACGGCAGTGTGAGTTGTGGTGGTGTCTTGTCCATCCACGGAAAGGAGAGTTGCCATTGCCCCGTTAGTCAGCCACATTTCAGAGTTCCCTGTTCACGGTTACCGTAGCGGATCACGACACCGTACTACAGGGCAGTCCCTTACTTGTGCTGCTTCCCCCCACGTAGAGGAGGACTTCTGGGCAGGGACAGTGAGAGTAAATAGCGAGTAAACACGGTGTTAGTTAAAACAGCGGTGTTATTAAAGGTAACTAATAGTAGTTAAGTATAATGGTAGTTAAGACGGCAGTGTGAGTTGTGGTGGTGTCTTGTCCACTCCATGGAAGGGGGAGGTGCCATTGCCCCATTAGTCAGCCACATTTCAGAGTTCCCTGTTCACGGTTACCGTAGCGGCTCGGGGTTCACGACACCGTACTTCGCCGTACAGGACAGTCCCTTACTTGTACTGCTTCTCCCCACGTAAAGGAGAACTTCTGGGCAGGGACAGTGAGAGTAAATATATAATAAACACGGTGTTAGTTAAAACAGTGGTGTTATTAAAGGTGACTAATGGTAGTTAAGTATAATGGTAGTTAAGACGGCAGTGTGAGTGGTGTCTTGTCCATCCACGGAAAGGAGAGTTGCCATTACCCCGTTAGTCAGCCACATTTAAGAGTTCCCTGTTCACGGTTACCGTAGCGGCTCGGGGTTCACGACACTTTACTTCGCCGTACAGGGCAGTCCCTTACTTGTACTGCTTCTCCCCACGTAAAGGAGAACTTCTGGGAAGGAGCAGTGAAAGTAAATATATAGTAAACACTGTGTTAGTTAAAGCAGCAGTGTAATTAAAGGTAACTAATGGTAGTTAAGCACAGTACGTATAGGAGGCAGACAATGCTATCTACATGGGATCTACCACTATGTAATACATACTACGCGGTATGCATAGCTGATACACCCGTCACAATAGCCCCAGAATCAATTAATTTACCGCCAGATCCCCGTCTGTGATAGTATTGTGGTACCTGATAGAATAGCTAGTTAGCAGTGCTACCAGCTCTATCTGCCATTTTATCACGTTACTCATAGAATTTTTGATAACCACTCTGATGACATTTCTCTCGATGGAACAATGTTTGACAACACGACTTTTATACTTTTTTTTTTTACTCTGTAAAAGAACGCGAATATAAAATACTAATTTTAACTATTATATAGTTAGCATTACTGACTAGTTATAGTCTCTCTACTGTGGCATTATCCATATCGGAGAAGACATTATAGAATGGTAATATGATGAAACATGGATATTTATTGGAGATTAAACAGTTAGAGATTAAAAGGTTTTTGAAAAGATACTTTTCCCTGGAGATCTGATACTCAACATTCTAAAGTACATCATTAAAAATTGACTTACTTGAGGGTTAATGGGTATTTTCTCTACTATGGCATTATTCATATCGGAGAAGGCACTATAGAATGGTAATATGATGAAACATGGAGATTTATTGATTCAAAATAGATAAAAATCCTTTCTCTCTAAGATTGCGTGAAGATTATTTCATGTACCAAAGAGCCATCTTGCCTTTTAAAAATGCATTACATTGATCATCACCTCTACGTTCAGCCCTGGGGCGTTAAACCTGAATGTATTGTCTTAATGGATTTAATTGTAAATCGACGCAATTATCCCTAGCCGGGATATCGCGTTTTGTGTGTTGAAATAAAATAAAGGTAATAAAAAGGTGCCACTTTTGATGTGGATTACTTTATCTGGTAAAATACAATAATGAAATTCGGTTATACAGGATGATTATGTTTTAGTACGTTATTTTATGATTAAGGATTGAAATTATTTTAAGTAGACAAGATACATTCAAGAAATATACAAAAAGTAGACAAAATGCCTACAAGGAATAGCCATGAAGTAAACAGAAGGCTTACAAGAGAAATAGCCACGAAGTACACAAGATGCTTTTACAAGAAATAGCCACGAAGTAGACAATATGCATTCAAGAAGTATACAAGAAATATCCAAGAAGTAGACAAAATGTTACAAGAGAAATAGCCATGAGGTAGACAAAATACTTACAAGGAATATCTAAAAAGTAGACAAGATACTTACAAGAAATAGCCATAAAGTAGACAATATGCTTACAAGAAATAGCCACGAAGTAGACAATATGCATTCAAGAAGTATACAAGAAATATCCAAGAAGTAGACAAAATGTTACAAGAGAAATAGCCATGAGGTAGACAAAATACTTACAAGGAATATCTAAAAAGTAGACAAGATACTTACAAGAAATAGCCATAAAGTAGACAATATGCTTACAAGAAATAGCCACGAAGTAGACAATATGCATTCAAGAAGTATACAAGAAATATCCAAGAAGTAGACAAAATGTTACAAGAGAAATAGCCATGAGGTAGACAAAATACTTACAAGGAATATCTAAAAAGTAGACAAGATACTTACAAGAAATAGCCATAAAGTAGACAATATGCTTACAAGAAATAGCCATGAGGTAGACAATATGCATTCAAGAAGTATACAAGAAATATCCAAGAAGTAGACAAAATGTTACAAGAGAAATAGCCATGAAGTAGACAAAATACTTACAAGGAATATCCAAAAAGTAGACAAGATACTAACAAGAAATAGGCATGTAGTAGACAATATGCTTACAAGAAATATCCAAAAAGTAGACAAGATACTTACAAAGAAACAGCCATGAAGTAGACCATAAATCCAAGTGAGAAAGACCATTTTTTATGTTCATTCTTTAATCCATCCATCTTTTTCTTCTCAACCAGCCATAGGTTGGTGGCTGGCAGTATCCCTGTCTTCTCAGACCTTCCTGTCTATGACAATTCTTTTGATGGTATCGTAGTGTCTTCTCTAGAAATTGTACATGCATTCCATTCTCGGCCTTTCTCTAGTCTCTTCCTTCCAAACATCCCTCCAGGAAATTTCAACACCACCATGGGAACCCGTTCGTATTGTTAGATAAATATCCGATGTCTACAATCTTTTAATTCAGAATACTAATTCTTAGTTTGTTTCATAATCTAAATTAACCTATCACAATAGTTCTCTTAATTGTTTATAATAGTTACTATAAATTTTTCCTAATTTACACCTAATTGTATATACAATTTTAAATAATTCTAATTTTGAAAACAGGTATGTAAATATTATATATTAAAATATACAGTTATCAGCGTCATAATCAATTCTGTCACCGTTTGCTTTTGTGAATGGAATAAATACCCAAATATGGCCATTTCTCATAACCATCGGTGGTTCAGTGGTAGAAAGCTCGCCTGCCACGCGGGTGGCCCGGGTTCGATTCCCGGCCGATGCATTTTTTTAAAACAATTTTTAAAACTCATTTATATATTATACAAGAATGACATCCACGGCGCCAATTTATAATTGTAACGAATAGTATTTGAATAAAAGCATTTAATCGGGTAAAACCCGGGCGTTGCCCGGGTCATTCGGCTAGTGTATTTATATAACCGGTTGATCCATCTAGATTCATTCTTTGGTTTTTTATTCCTGTAGAAGGGACGTAAATACACGAAAGCTTGAAACGTAAAGCATTAAATATATGATACTCATCCTTGGTGATTTTGTTTTTCTGATACCCGAGGTTGTTTGATGACCTAAAAGGACGAATGTTCTTTAAAACTAAAGGTAAATATGAAGGAGAAGACATCTCCTCTGATCGTGTAACTGAAATCACGCCATCTATCCGTATAAATATCAACTAATCGTTGATTTTTTTAAGCATTCCAGAATATTAGCTAAATATTTATTCAGATAGATGGCGTAAGCCATCAGCAATTTTTAGTTACACGCTCTGGAGATGCTCTTTTTTCTTCTTAATTTATTCACTTGATATCGCAGTGCAATTTCACTTTTGTTATTTTTTTTTCGTTTTAACTATATTGTCTGTTTGTTTTTTATTTTATATTATAATAGTTAAGATAAATCGATCTTTAAAATTGATTTTTCACAATGAAGAACTAAGACACGCGGAAATGAAAACCTTGGAAATAAAATATTGTGTTCTAGTAAACCAAACGAATTTTACATAATGAAGTTTTCAGACGATGGATGGTTTATTGAAAGTATATCGTTTGGTATATTTCTTTACGACTTGTTTTAATGGCGAACATTCATCCTTTAATCTTTAGGCAAGTATTGCCTCTTTTTTTCGGAAAAAAAAAAAACGATAAAATGTTTTCGGTTTAAACGTCTTTTATGGTAATGGTGTAATATATTTGAGTATTTTTATTTAGTTACAATGGGGGGAAATTTGAAATAAATAACATTGAAAGGTTTCATCTTCGTTTTTTTAAAACTTTTCTTTTATCGAAATCTATAATACCGCTCTTTTCTCTTTACCATTCAATATTAATAACAGAAGAAATAACATGACGGGTTATTTTAATATTTCACCATTTTCAATATGTGCTTTTTTCCCCTTCTCCTAATGTTTTATTTTTGACTTGGTCTGTTTAACATTTTGTCTTTTG